CATGGATGTCAAAGATTTCCAAGCATAATGTAGTGAAACACACGAACGATGCGAATAGGTACAGGAAGATGAAGATTGAAGAGAGCCCACTGGTGTCCTTAGCAAAGCTTTTACAAAGGAGTTGAGGGGCAGAAGATGAGGAGATAGAATGAGAAGAGCTATTGTTTCAAGAAGAATGTGGCTGGGAAGAAATGGACACTTGAGAACAGCACATAATTGGAGAGTGGTGGGAGGGTTACCGGTTTTTATCCGGCAGCATTTTCATCAGTGACATTTTACAATTTCTGATAGATCTTTAGGAACTTACACAAATTATTCTACACTTTATCTAATAGAAGAAACATGCAAGAAAACCAAGAAAATTCTGGAAAAGAAGACGAACGATGGAGCTTGCCTCTTAGTTTCTTGACCTCCCCCTTTCTGTTTTTCTGCTAGAACTCAGCCAGACTCCCTTGGTCATTATTCTCAGCAATGGTATCAGTTGTAGCTACTTCTCTTTAAAAATAGTTAACCGGTCCTATATCTGACCATAATATACCATTCTTCAAGCTTGATTGTTTGAATACACCCGCTACAACTATTTAATGATCTTATCAAGATTTCCAGTTCATTGACCGCTCTGACTTTTCACAACCTACCAACCCTCTCCTCTCCTCATTCTCTTTCTTTTTTTTTTCCTTTCTTTCCCCCCATCCCCGCCCCGGGGTGGGGATTTAATTGAGTTTGTTTATTCATTTTCTGATGGAAGTACTGGGGATTGAACCCAGGACCTCAAGCATGCTAAGCAGGTGCTCTACCACTGAGCTACACTCACTCCCTTTCATTCTCTTTCTTATCCAGCTCAGAGACTGACTCATCAGAGAAAAATTTTTGCCCTCATTCTTTTTACTGCTCCCATCTGCCAAAACCCTGAAACTGGCTAACTGTCAGCCTTCTCCATACCAGCACCTTAGCTGCTCAGTGCAACGAGAAAATGCCACACAATAAGACAGACTAAAGACTATAAATTTATAACTAAATATAGTGAATCTACTTATTTCTCTTGTCAACTCACTCTCCCCACCTTGAGTGGAAGAGGATGGAGATGAGGAAATATATTTATACTTTGGTAGAGGGAAAAGTCTAAGCATTGTCAAATAACAAAAATAAAACAATCCAATAACCAGTTGGAGGCCCTTTACTCAAGGGAAAACAAACCGTGAATTGGAAGCATACAGTGCCTCACATGCAGGGGAGAACTCTTCCCCAGGGATGTTTGGGCAAGAGCGAGTTTATGGAGTGTTACAGTAGCAACTTGGAAGCAGGGCATGCACGACGGGCCAGGAGGTCAAGGCTGTCCTTGTAAGGCTGGCAGGTCCTATTTTCTAGCCAAGAGAGAATCGTGACTGGTGTACATTAGGTTTCTGGGACAGTGAGGCATTTCCTGTTTAAGTGTGGACTGACTGAAGTTTGGTGGCTTGGGCCAGCCTCCATTTTTGTGGGTCCCTAAATTAGGTTCTGAACCTTAACACTGCTAGGAAGAGGTTTCCTGCACACACACCACCAAACAATGCTCAGGACACCAGCTTGGTGTCCTACAATTCAACTCAACTCTAACACTACCTACCTGGGGACAGCATAGGATTCCACAGGTTAAGACTGCCTCCCACCCCCAACCCCACTGCTGGACTTCAGACACCAATTATAAGCTCAGATTATGTGCTTCTGACTAACTACACACTGAAGGTTCCAACAACCCCCTTCAACCTAGGATGCCAGTTGCCAAGTCCAGATTGTCACCTGGCTATAAATCAGAGGTTTCCACAACTCCCTCATCAGGTTTGATTCACTAGAGCAGCTCAAAGAACTCAGAGAACCACTTTACTTACTGGATTGCCAGTTAATTATAAAGCATATAAATCAGGGGAAAATAACCAATAAAAGTGATGCATAAGGCAAGTTATGGGGAAAAGGCACAGAGTTGCCACGTTCTCTCAGCCCCATCCCTTCCCCGCATCTCCATGTGTTCATCAACCTGGAAGTTTTCTGAACCCTGTTCTTCTAGATTTTTATGGAGACCTTATTACACAGGCACAATTGATTAAGTCTTTGGCCATTGGCTCAACCTTCAGCCCCTCTCCTCCCCCAGAAAGTCCAAGGATACAGCTGAAAGTTTCAAACCTGGGGCTGTCTCCCCTGGCAACCAGCCCCCATCCCTAGATGACCCAGGGGCATTCCAAAAGTTACTGCCTTAGCATAACAAAACACCTTTATCTCTCTCACCACTTAGGAAATTCCAAGGGTTTTGGAAGCTCAGTGCTAAAACCAGGACAAAGCCCAGCTATATATTTCTTATGATTATTCACAATATCCCAGTCCTGATATACAAATCATCTTTATCAGCATGCCACAGAAACTAGAAACCATATATTTGACCACATACAATTTTAAATTTCTCTTAAGAAAAAAAGTCACATTACCGAAACGAACTTGGCTCCACTTGCTGGTCACGCAGCAAATCCAATTTACTGACACCGGGTTGTGGTGAAGGACGGTACAGCGTTTACTGCAAGGCACCAAGGGAGGAGAATAGGCGACTCACACTCAGATGACTCGAACTCCCGGGTGGCTTTCAGGGAGCGATTTTTAAAGACGACATTTGGGGTGCGGGTGGCAGAGGGCATGACTTTCTTCTGATTGGTGGGTGGTGAGGTCACAGGGTGGTGTTTCAGGAATTTTAGTTATCAACCTTCTGGTTCCAATCAGTCTGATGTCTACCTGCTAGTGACCTATCTGCTTGTAGTCACAAGGGGTCTTTTTCCTCAGAGCAAGTCAAAGATAGCGTCAGATTGTGATGTGTAGCCCTTGAGGGGGAATTGAACACTTTATTGCTACACTATTGCTTCTTGACTGCTTTTCCTTATTTTCTGCATTCCCTCACTTCCCTAAGTAGTAACTTTTGGAGTCTGCTCTTTGTAAGTTTAGGGAGGCCTAGGAGACTAAAGCATTCTTCAACAAACAAGAATCCAGGGGACACAAGGAGGCTTTTGTACCCAGGAGAGTCCCGCAGGGCCCAGCTCAGTTTCAATAAAGTCAAAAGACTGGGGAAAATGCATCTGAGAAAATTGAATGTTTCTCTAAGGGACAAACCTCTCTTAAAATTAATAGAGGAGAGAAGGCAAACCAATAGAAAAACAGACGAAGGATTATAGAGGAGCAAAACTTGCCACTCCTAAACGTCTCTTTAGCATGTGGGTTATTTCGAGGTGAACACAATCAAGGCCCAGGAGACACAGAAAGAAATTTTGACATTCCCCCTAACTACCTAAAAAAATTTAGACAGGACCTGTTCCCAGAACAGAGCTACCCCCAGAAGTATCTGCAAAGAAAATGGGCTGAGTGTGGTGAGGGAAACTGGGCAGAGATCAGAGTCCACTCTGTGTCCCATTGTCCCTGCCTGATCCAGCAAACCTCGGTTTACCATTTGCTTTTCCATCTTTGTGTGAATTGTCTTCCTCCTCTTTGAAGTCCCAAACCACTACCCTCAACATCCTGGTTTGTCTTTAGCTGAAGATGGTATTTACAGTGAGGACTTGAGCCATTTGGGTGAGTTACTCAGTTTTCCTGGATCTCTCCTTTGTGTACGTGGTGTTAGACTTTTGATTTTCTCCTGTTATCTGTCTCATGTCAATTTAATTCTTAGATCAGCCAGAAGAACTTAGAAAAGAAGAGAACAATGTCTTCCTCTCCAACAGCGTAACACAATTTCCGGAAGAGCTGTAGACGGTCATTGCCAACACCCGCACACAAAATGCTGAACACCACAAGTTCAAGAATTAGATATTAGGGTACTAGTGTTGATCATCAGACTATCAAAGATTTAAGAGCTTGAGCATACCCCGTGTGACACTGTGATTTACAGTCAGAAATATATGCTTAGTCTTCATCCTGTTCCAGGCATGAAGTTCCTAAAACCTTTGGAATTTCCCAAGTGTTGAGCACAATAAAGATGTTTTTTGTTGTGTTAATGAGGTGCTTTTGGAATCCTCCCAGATCACCTAAGGCTGAAGTCTTGTTGGCTGGAGGCGGGGTGGGGGGGGTTGGAAATCCACCCTGCGACTAGAAGGCTGGAACTTTCAGTTCAGCCCCTGACCTTGGGGGTAAAGAGCCTGGAGAAAATTGAGTCGAATCAACCAGCAGCCGATGATTTAGTCAGTCGGGCCTATGCAATGCCGCCTTCGTAAAAAATTCCATGTCCCAGGAGGGTAGCTCACCCCAAAGTCCACCAGGACAGAAAGCTCCTGTGTTCAGGACCCTTCCAGGTCTCTTGCCCTAGGTATGTCTTTATCTGGCTGTTCATGTGTGTCCTTTAAAATCCTTTGTAACAAGCCAGCCATCTGGGACATAATTCTGTGAGTTGCTCTAGTCAATTAAGCAAACTCCAGGAGTGAATGGGGGGAACCTCAAATTTATGCCCAGTCGGTCAAAAGCAGAGGTAACAACCTGGACTTTCACTTGGTGTCCTGGGGGGCTAAGCCTCTAATCTGGGGGGTCTGACATGAGACAGCGTCAGAATCGAGTTGAATTTGTGGGCTATCTGGTCATGTCCACCAAGGATCAGAGAACGGCTTGATGTGTGGAAAACCCACGTATCTGGTATCAAAAGTGAAGGAGTGTGGTTAAAGCCATGTGAGAGTAAAGGAGAGACACACAGAGGTGTGTTCTTTCATGATCTAGTGTTGGCAAGGATGTGGGAAAACTGGAACTCTACTTTTTTTCTTAGATCCATTCCGCTGGATCTCTACCCTCTTGCATCAAACTGGATAATTACCTCCTATTACCCTAGGATCTTTCTTCACTACCATCCAGGCAATATTTTTCTCTCTTCTCTTCTGTGTTGAATTACTTGTGCCTGGAATTCCAAACATTCTCCTTTTATGGTTTGGTTCCTCAGTCTGATGTAGCAAACCCTCCTGTGGCTTCCTGAGAAAGCCTGGGAAACCTTTTTTTTTTTTTTTTGTATACTCTGCATGTTGAAAATGTCTCCATCCCAATTAGCACCAGAGAGCTGGGCTGACTGCAGAAGTCAGTGGAGAAAAATTTTACCTTCAGAATCTTAAATGCACGGGTCAAATGCCTTCTAGATTTCAGTGCTGATCATGAAAAATCTGACAGTAATCTTTTTATCTTTTGCTTGTAACATTCCGCCCACCACCAGCTTTTAGGATTCTATTTTTAAAGCTATGTTTGAAATTTCACATGGATGACGGGCATTCGTGTGAGTTTTTTTTTAGCCAGAAAGCTGGACACTGGGTGTCTGCTCACATGCAGCCTGTAAAATCACATTTTCAGTTCTAAATTCTATGGAACTCAATCCAAGCAAACCAAACAGAAAATCTACAAGATATTGAAAAGGCTACAAAAAAGTATGTAGGGTCCTTTTGAAGTTAGCTTTTGAGAATGGAGTTAGATTTTTGATTGTGGTGGGTAACAAATTACTTTTCTTCCCCCCATTATTTCACATGCCTGTGGCTCCCATTGCATTCAGTGGGACGCTCCTTTTCTGGGTGCTGGAATTACCTTAAAGTTTCCCTTGTCTGTAATGGCAGAGGGATAACTTATAACTAGAGGGAGCACGATTAGAATGAAAGTGTTTGTCTATTAAAGAAATAAACTTTATTCCAGCCATTCAGATGGTTGGTTAACTTCCTGATGTCCCTAAAACATGGACAGTGAGTACAGATTTCTTGACTCATCCTCATCCAGCTTCACCTGATATCTGAAAGTTTGCTTGGGCAGAACTTCAGCACCTGTAACAGACCTGCCACCTGTCAAACATCTGCAGCTTTTGTTAGTGTCTCAAATTCGTATCATTTCTGCAGGAAGTGGGTTTCCTTCCCAGGTTTCTCACAGATGTTGTCCGTTTCTCAAAGTGTGTTTCATGGAACTCTATTTTTACATGCATTTCAAATATATGTCTTTTTAAAGTATCTTCAGTTCTTAAGAAGTTGGGAAATTCTGCCAGAATCTCTGAAAAGTTCCTATTTTAAAAATGAATGCCCATAATAAATTTTTACGAGAGTCGAGTCAGCACAGGACACAATTTAGCAACTGAAGGCTTGGAAGGTACTTTTTGATCTTGATCTTGATATTTATTTGATGAACTATCAGACAGATATTCACCATGTGTCTTATGTCAGGGGATAACACTGCGATTGCACTAATAGTTCAGTCAAAATATAAGTTAATCCATCACCTTTCTTAGTTTTAAATCTTAATAACTCTTTTGACCATGCTAATTTATCTCTAGATCCACCATCTTAGCCTGCCGTCACCTCTTGACCATCCTACAGTGGACGGAAGGGGGGGTCTGACAAGAGAGACATTCCTAGACATCTGTTTTTTTGTTTTGAGGGACCAAGTACACAGAATCAAGAATATTTAATTTTGAAAAATTGAGTTTGAGTTTCTTGTGCCTCTGGGAGAGAGACCAGATGTTTTACAGGAAATCATCTCAGGAGGAAGGCCCAACTGAAGATGCAGATTCAAAGGTGTCAACGTACTGATGATAATGGAATATAGAGGTGTAGATTAGAATTCTTAGTGAAAAAAAAACCCTGATTTTTAGTTCCACTCCTGCCATGGATTCGCCTATCTGATCCTGGCCAATTTGCATAATGGTTCCATTTCCCAGTTTCCTCCTTGTGGTGGACACAAACCCCGTTTCCTTTTCTTCCTGGACACACGGCTGGACTGTTTCTTAGCTTCACAGTTGGCATGGGGGCTACAACACAACTTTCTGACTGTTTTCATGTCTTGGCTATTGTAAATGCTGCAGTGGACGTGGAAGTGCATCTTTGAGATAATGATTTCATTTCATTCACACGTATAAGTATTGCTTTGGCTCTTCAGGGTCTTTTGTTGCTCCATATGAAATGAGGAGTGTCTTTTCATTGCTGTAAAAACTGCCACTGGAATCTCGATAAGGATTTCATTGCATTTACAGGTGGCTTTGGGTAGTAGGGACCTCTTAACAATATTAATTCTTCCGATCCATGACCATGGGATATCGTTCCATTTTACTTTTGTCTTCTTCAATCTGTTTTGTCAATGCCTTATAGATTTCACCATACAGATCTTTCACCTCCATGGTTAAATTAATTTCTAAATATTTTATTATTTGATGCTATTGTAAATGGGATGGTTTTCTTTCCTTTCCAAATAATCCATCTTTAGTATATAGAAATGCAAACTGACATTTTCTAGATTCTAATGGCATTCACTCTTTAGTGGGTCATCAATGCTGGTTCATGAAACAGTAGATACACAAGGAATTGTTCTGTTCATCTCCAAGTCACAGGAAGCTGTATCAACCCTGTAGCGAAAAGGATATGGGGCGGAATCATTCGGTAATGGCAGTTTTGAAGTTCAAGTGTGAACAATGTAAGCCGATTCTGACGTTGTCTTGAAATCTTTAAACATGGAGGGAGACTCTGGAATTTAACAAAAAAAAAAGTTACAATAATATTTTTCTTAATACCACAAACATTTTAAAACATCACTTGGAAGATCACTGAACTACTTTCAAGGGAATACAGACAGGACCCCTACATTTCTTCAACAGGATGACACACACCAGTAAGGGAAAGTAGAAGGCTGCAATTCTGTGTGGCCAGTGTGACTGGTCACAACAGCAGTGATAGTAATGATGATGAAATCTAATTACTGTGGAGCCCACCTACATCTTAGGCCAGTTTATCCATTCCTTTCTCCCTCTTATTTCCCACAAAGAGATTGTCTTGTTCTCACCTCTTTTAAGATAAGTAAATAACTAAATCTCAGTGTAAGTGGCAAACTGATGGTGAGGAGAGTACATGTCAAAAGCATCAGTAAGAAGTTCGAAGAAGGATGCTTCTTTTTGCATCAGAATCTTTGCCCCTTCTGGGAACTTACTAGATTTATGCAGTGGAGTTCCAGTGCATACAGCTTCATCCACAGAGGTGGGTATCTGGGCCAGTGAGCTTCTTTCCCAGGGGGGTAGTTGACGAAATTCCTCCAGCAGTAATCGTACGCTAAGGGAAACACAGATCTTGGTTCATTCAACACATATAACAGAAAGTTAAAGAGAGCCCAGCTTAACAATACACCCTATCTAAATTCCTCTGGCCTGTCTGCGGCTGGTGATGGGTTAGACTCTTCCAGAATCCCTAAAGGGAACACAGCAGTTCATCTGAAGATGGCTAGCGGCCACAGTGACAAAAATGGAGGACAGAGTCATCTCTTTGATACTTCCCTTGCTGTGAATTTCAGACCTGGTTCTTTGTTGGGCTATTCTGGACTTTCGTTTCTGATACTTGCAGTCTGGGAGAATCAGTCTCCTGGCCCAGAAACACACCACCACCACAGCCTCTCATCAACACTTAAGACTCTTGGTTTACTGTTTTCACCTGCGGCTCCCATAATCTGGACAGCCACACCCCTGGTGAAGAGGTCTCTGAGTCCTCGCCGGTTCTGCGGGTCCATGTGCTGGAAAAGCCGTGCTACGTGAATCACCAGAGTCACACTCGGGTGTTGGTCCAAAAATTCTCCAATCGCCTGGGAGCATTTCCAGCAGGGACTCCAGGACAAGAACCAGGTGATGGAACAGCTGACCGATGGGGGAAAATGTCTTTCTGAAGTGAATTTTTCTATAAAATTGTGTTCCACGTGCTTGGTGGTGTTTTTGCTGGAATGTCGCCAGATGCCACGGTTGCTGCCCCACCGGATTTCATAGAGCAGACAGGCCTCTTTCCGGAGTTCTCGGGGGTCAAAGAAGGCTTCAAATTCCCAGGGTTCAATTCTTCTCCTGAAATATAAAAAGCACCCCCATCTTGTCACACCACCTTGAGATGCGACCTTGGATGTAATGTCATGTTCTCTTCTATTAGGCACATCGAAAACACGGCATCTCAGGAACCTTTTTTTCTTTCTTTCCTATATCTCAGAGTTATCTGGGGAGATCCATCTGAATTATCAGTTTCTCTCACAAACATAGGGAAGACATTTTTCCCAACTCAGGTTATTTGGTTACCACTCTCTGTACCACTGCTTGATGGTCTTGAATTCAGGCACAAATGTTTCCTTGTTTCTCTTTTAAAGGTTTCTCAATATATTCTAATCTTTCTGTCTCACACTTAGAGGTGACGTGTCCCACTCATTAATCATTGTTATGCCTCAATGAACTCTAGCTAGATTTTTTTTCAGGTGTGGAAGCCTCAGATTGCCAAAAGGATTCTATTACCAACTCTGAGAAGAGAAATTTAGTCTCAGGATTCTTCCACATTAAATTTCACATACTAATACCTTATAAGAAAGAAATTCATATTTCCCGCAATGGCAACGTTAGCTTTAACACTCTCTGTGTATCAAAGCTGTGACTCAGGGAAAACTCAGAGCTATGCTTTGTTTAAAGAAGTTTATTATCGTCTTTCGAATGTGGCTGAGTCATAAGTTTATCACGTCTGGTTATTTTTCACTCATTCCTAAAGTGTCAGTCCCTTTATCATGTAGATCCGCCCTTCCAGTGATCATGAAATAATATGTTCCATGAGAAAAGTCTCCTATTACATCTAGAAAATGGGTGTATAGTATAAAATAGGAAGATGAAATCAAAATGACAGATGAGTTCTCTGAACTTGTAACCAGTGTCTATGAAAACATGTGACCTAGAGAAGAGACTATAACAGAACAAAGCTGGAAGGTGATGTTTTTCAATAGAAACCAAAAGCCATAGAGGCAAAGATAGATAGAAAAAGCAATAATAATCATAGAAAATGGAGTTGGAAAAGCAAAAAGAAAGCATTGGAGCATGATAAGAGAGGAAAAAGACAATAAGGAAAGTAGTAGTTGTCCAGCTCTTAAATACCCACCTATTCGGGGTTGAATTAAATGTACACTGCGATCATATTCTTACCTTAAGTTGGCATCTCCAGCTGCAGGACCTGTTGACCGAGAGATGATCATGTCAAACTCCACCATATACAAATAGAACTATTAAGAAAAAATGCTCTTTTCTTCTGGCTTTGCAAACCATATCAGAAAATGCGGTTGAAAGATTGTCTCCTGGATTAATTGGATTGACCAGTTCATTGGACTGAGAAAAGCAAGATTTTTAAGGGTTCTGCTGAAATTTATTTGCCCAACCCCAAACCAGGTAATTCTCTTTAAGGCTCCAACAAGGATGTTTAAGGGCAAAGGAAAGCTAGTCCTCAGAGGATCCTAGGTGTAATTTCTGTGCACCCCCAGAGTACCCTGAACTTCCTTCATCAGAGCAATTATCATGCCATTTTATGATTGCCCATTTACATGCCTATAAAAACACTGATGCATAAATTATACGAGCTATGGATTTTGTATATCTTGTTCCAGACCCTATTGCACTGCCTGAAACATGTTGGTTAGCAATAGATACTTACTGAACAGATGAATGAAATTCACTACTCTCTACTAAGATGAAGTATAGGTTAACGATACTAAGCAGAGAAACTGGATCTCTCATACCTTGCTGGTGGGAACGTAAATTGGCACAGCCACTCTGGGAAACAGTTTGCAGTTTCTTAGGGAAAAAAAAAGAGTAAAAATGCACCTACCATACAACCCAGCAGTTACTCTCCTGGGCATGTATCTCAGAGATGGGAAAACATAGGTTCACAAAAAAGCTTGTACACAAGTGTTCACATCAGCTTCGGTTGTAATAGTAAAAGCTGGAATGAGCTCAGATGTCCGTGCAGTTTGAGACACAAAGCATAAGGTTCCCCCGTGTGATACCCCTTCTCAGTGGGTCAGAGACACAGACAGAAGTCATTTGTCCCCCTGGGGGTGAGGTGACGGTGCAGAGGTGCAAGCAGGAGGCTCCATCCCACCTCCCAGTCAGACCTTAACTTGGAGGACCCATTTTTGAACAAAGAAGAGTCATGAGAGCTGGGAGATACTTCCTTCAAAACAGGAGGTGCTTTGCCCAAGGCTCTGTGCATGAATGTGCGTGTGTGTGTGTGTGTGTGTGTGTGTGTGTGTGTGTGTGTGTTGAGGGGTACAGAATGTGCCACTGAAGCAGAGAAAAATTAGTTTGGTCTTTAGAGATTTGAGAATAAACTCCCCTCTTCCCCAAATCCCTTATTTTCCTACAGGCAGAGCCTCCCAGAAGAACTCAAAAGGAAATCAGTTGCCATACATCTCATGGGGAGATAAATCAACCAGGGGAGACTGACTCTTACCAACTGAGACGCTCACTCAGACATTGTCCCAAACCGTTAAATGCCATCTATTCTCCTAAGGGCTCATCTATCTCTCCTAAAAGTCATTTGTTTTCCCATAAGGGCTCTTCTGCCTCTCCACTTCTAAGATGTTAGAGAGAGGGATAAAAAAAAGATGGTATGGAAAACAACCCAGTTCTAATCCAAGTCCTTGAGTCACATTTCGGAGAATTCCTGTGTGTAATTTTGTCTTTTTTTTCTTGCTTGCTTGCTTTTTTTTTCTTTTTTCTTTCTTTTTTTTTTTTCTTTTGTCAGTTTAATTTGCAGGCCCCCAGAAACAAAATCTAAGAGGGTAGAAGAAACGTTTTTCCTCCCCAACGGTGTGTGCGTGTGTGTGCGTGCGCTGGGAGGTGTTGTGTACCACACAGTTTCCTGTAGATGGAAAAGGGTTCTAGCTGGGTTGTGAGGCTGAAAAAAATAAATCAGCCAGATATCTAGGAATGAGGACAAGAATCAGAAAATACTATCCTAAGTGTAACCTGAAGAAGAAACCTCATCCTTAGAAGAAAATGCAGGGAGTTTGCACGTGAGATGGAGGAGGAAGGGTGCCTAACACCTTGGGATGGGCCCTGCTCAGACATCAGTCTGACTTGGGGCCTTTGAACCAGCTGGTCCACTCAGAAGGGGACAGTCACTGATGACAGGGGACCTTCCTCTGAAGGAGCTGAAGCAGCAGTGAGAACTTGGGGAAGAGACAGTGAGATGAACGCTCATGACCTACCCCAGGGGTGCGGGGCAAGAACGCCAGCCACGTGGGTGGGGACGGTTTGAGGGATAAAACACATCACCTTCAGGGGACGGTCCGGAAAAGTTACCCAGCTATTTCAATTAAATGAAGTCTTTAGTCTTTTCCCCAAAATACCAGTCACAAGAGGATTTTATTAGAGGGGAAATATAATGGAGAAAAAAGATACTGTTTCTTGAAACCCAAGACTGACGCCTGTGCTGCGTGCCGTCACCTCGTGAGTGTGGACCCCTTCAGGAGTCCTCTCACTGAACCGCCTTTCTTCCAGGTGTTTCTGCTTCCAGCCAGAAAGGCAGCAAGTGCCGGGTAAATGTGCCTAAAGCACTGTTTATGTCGTGTCTGCGCTATTCACAAATTCTCCAAAGATTTTTGTCTAATCGAAAAAAATCAGCTTGAGCCTGGCGGTCAAGGTCCTCAACAATATCGCCTCAAATTTGCTTCCTAATCTCACTGCAGATTATCTCCAAAACTCTCCTCTAGCCGAGCCAATTGATTCATTATATTCCAAACACGGTCTTGGTAAAGTCTCCTGAACTCTGTGTCAATCAACCTGGAACGGCCTCCTCTACGTCAATCCAAATTCTGACCTTTTAGGGTCCAGTTCAGATCCCACCTCACTTGAAAATCATTCTGTCCCACAACACGAAGCATCCTCCCTCTCCCATGAATTTTTCTAATATTAAGTAAAAGAACCTTAAATTATCAACTAAGATGCCCTTGTGTGTGTATATATATACAATGGAATACTACCCAATGACAAGAAAGAATGAAATACTGTCATTTGCAGCAACATGGATGGACCTGGAGAGCATCATACTAAGTGACGTTAGTCAAACAGAGAAAGGCAAATACCATACGATATCACTTACACGTGGGATCTAAAAAAAATGGCACAAATGCACTTATTTACAAACAGACTCGCAGACATAGAAGGCAAATTTATGATTACCAAAGGGGAAAAGAGGGTAGATGGATAAATTAGGAGTTTAGGACTAGCAGAAACAAACTACTCTACACAGAACAGATAAACTATAGGGTCCTACGGTATAGCACGGAAATTATATTCAATAGATTTTAATAACTTATGAGAAAGAATATGAAAAAGAATGTATATATGTATAACTGAATCACTATGCCAACACAACACTGTAACTTCAAATTGAAAAACAAAGTGCCCTTCGGCTGTCACTTCTGTGGCTATCTTAAACTTCCATTTAACAACTGTATTCTTTTTTAACTTAATTTTTTCTTATGGTGAAACAAGCATTAACTTAGTGTCACTTGCTCAAAGTCATTTGTGGATGCAAACAGTTGGTATTAACAATAATAATAACAACAAATCTTGCTTGAGAATAATAATATAATAATATATTAATAAATAGAAAAGTTAGAAAACGTCCAGGAATACAAGCGCAAGCAGGACACACACACACACACACAC